CAAGGTATATTTCTATTGTTGTTAGCTTCCAGATGCAGCTATTCTGATTTATTTGTCATCTCTGTTCAGCAGACTCTCTATCCTTCCACCTCTTTTTTTGCTCTATCTAGACAGATCCTTCCTACTGAACACACTCGCTGCCAGATAAGGGAATAAATTATTTTTCTTATTCTTTTTCCCAGGCATTTCTCTTCTTTACAATCTATCATACCCAGATCTTTTGTGTCCAGTCAGAGCACTTAGATGTTCTGTGGTTTGTACAGAATTGTTCAAGGGCCCTATCCCCTATTTAGTGAGATTCTGCAGTATCCCTGGATTTATCACTCATTACGTTCATCAGGGGGCTTCGGGAGTTGATTCCTATAGCTTATTCAGGGTTATCTGTTGTAGATTGAAATATACTCCACATCACTTCTCACCAGATTTGGCATTTATCAATGTCATTATCTGCTTGTCTGAACTGTTCTCTGGGGGATATTTTGCGGGCCGGTATGTGGACTTCTCCCAACACTGCCCTATCTCATTACCTTCATGATCTGGCAGTTTACTCTTCTGTGGGATTTTTGCCTCCTCATGGCTGTGTTGACTACCGCTGCAATATTTTAACAAGGAGGTGTTAACTTTCTTACCTGATTAACAGTTTTTCTTTTTTCTTCTAAGGTCCCTCCTTATTTCCTTTGGATCCCACTCAGTGGCGAGTGTTACCCAGTCAGGTGTGCTTATATTTTTTTCAATTCCACACAAGCAACCTTTATATTGGTTCATGGTTGTAGCATGCTCTGTCGAGATGAGGTGTTCCATAAGACCTTCTAGATGCAATTCTGGATGGTAGTATTATCTTACAATACAAATCCAATGGACTGCCACTCATGGACTATCATGAGTAAAGCTAAAGGGGATTTTGCCAGTCTCTGCTGATCTTAGAGCTGAATCAGTTGAGATCAGTTTGCTTTTAAAACTTAGGAAACGTGGTTCACCTGTTGCACTGTCTCCGGAGACCTATTCCTCAGGACTCCCCACCGCACACATGTTCCCTCCTACTGCTATTAGTGGAGTTAGGGAGTCCTTACCACACCCAGATCCCAGTTGCTGGGGTGGTGGACAGAGGATTTTCCTTTGGAGTGTTGAGTAAAACCGGTCCAGATTTGATGCTTAGCTAAATGGTGGGGTGTGCTTGGACCCTCTTATGAACACTGTCAGGTCTTAGGTTGTTCATGCAGGGGGTCCACTATCTCCTCATAAATCTGAACGCAATGCGGTCCCATCTTAGGCCCTTGGTGAAACAGTGTTCTACGTCTTCTCCATAATTCCATGGGTAAGTGAAATTCTCCTCGCCCACTTGGTTGGGGAGTGAAAAATGAGTTCTGTACCTTGGGGTGAGTATGGCATATATGATCCTGTCAATCCAAGCCTGGAATGTTGCCTTTTGGACTTCATCAGGTTGATCAGAAGGATTGTCCACTTTGGTGTTGCTTTCTTTCTTTCATAAATCTGGAGGTTCGAAATGCATCATTCTGTGGTTATGTATATATTTGCACTCCAACTGCCCTTGCCATCAAGGGGGAATATGGTTACCATGACCCCTTAAATCCAACCCCGAGTCATGGAACCTTGGCTGCGTGGTTGGGGCTTGCCCATCATACTTACTTGTGTAACATTCCACCCTTTTCTGTAGTTCTGGGTGTAGAACGTACCTGTTCTGGATATAGTATGGTTATCCCTGGTTGGATACCACTTCTCATGGTACATCTTTATTCTATGCAGATGCTTTCTGTATAAAACTATGCCCTCACTGGCCCGTCCACCTTCTCAATGTGGGATTCTAGCTGTAAGTGTCAGTGGAGGTATGTATGTTTTGGAAGTTATCATTTTCCTAATCTGAAAATGTATTTCCAAACATACTTACCTCCGCTGACACTTACAGCTAGAATCCCA